ATATCGCCTAAGGCTTGTTTCCTTTTCTTGGTTTGTAAAGAAATACTTGGTAAACACTGATCAGCTACCTGACATATAAACATTGATCAGCTACCTCACATATGGTATTATGAGAATTTAATAAATCCCACAAAGCTATGCTTGTATAAACTTTTTTCATTAAAACTTCAGTGTATATTAAAATTTCTTCAGAGTTGCATATGTATCAGCCTGCACATGAAAATTACCTTCCATATCTTCTAGAACTTTGACAGTGTTCTTCAGTATTCTGGTCTTCCCATTTGTAGCCTAAAATACAGTACCAGAAAATGTATATTACTTGAAATTATGCAGAATTTAAATTATTATATTTGGTGAACTTTAGACCAATACTTGATTTACTCACATTCTTCCTCTTTCAGAATCAAAATCAGAGAAGAGCACCCATCTCTAAGAAGAGCTTGTCCCCTTAAGTTAAAAAGTGAATGAAAATTCACATTATTACCTATACAAGTAAGGTTCCAATAGGCTTCTAGCATCACATCTTTGTAGAGATTCTTCTGAGAAGGATCCAGCAAAGCCCACTCTTCCTGAGAGAAGTTCACATGCACATCCTCATAGGTCACTTCATCCTAAAGTATACCATATATATATATATATATATATATATATATATATATATATATATGTAAACACAATAAATTATACATATATGTAATAGAAGTGCTGTGATTGATTGCATTGTAAATGTATGCTCCATTTAAAATATATGTACCTAATCCTGTGTGCTCAACAAATCAATTTCATGTTACAGAATTTCAAATGTAATCACCAACTCATTTTTGGAGGAAACAGAAAGGGAAAATCAAACCTCTCATTTCTGTGTACATAGAATAGAATATGGCATTATAGGAGAAATGCCTACTAACATATACAAAAAGACATGTAAAAAGAGCAGTGTGATTAAGGATACATTAGCAAAATTGTATCAAAACTACTAACTTCAAAAATGAAGGGAAACAATGGGCTTGGTGGTGTTCATCTTTAATCTTAGACCTCAAGAGACAGAGAAAGTGAATCTCTATGATTTCCAGGCCAACCTGTTCTTTATACTGATGATCACAACAGCCCAAGGAACCTAATGAGACCCTGTCTCAAATAAGCAAACAAAAAAGAGAGCACACAGAGGCACACTCAAAATTCCTCCAAAGACTTTCACTCCAGAAATGTATTTGTCTATCAGAAAATTGGAGTAAACTGTATAAACTGTAAGGCTAATATGATATTCTTATGGAAAAAACACACTTTTAATAAGTTAATGACTCACAGATCAAAGAGTTTTCAAAAAGGTTAATAAAATAAATGATATTAAGAAAATAAAGCATCAATACCAACAAAAAAATAGGCTATTTAAAGATGACATTACAATGAGGATCACTTGTTCTTTTTACAGAGGACCTGGATCAATCCCCAGCCCTCACTTTGAGGCTCCCAACCATTCCTAACTCCAGGCAAAGACAATCCAATGCTCTTTACTGATTTTAGTGAACACCAGGCTTTCATTTGGTTCCCACCCATAAATATAGGTAAAAGACTTATGTATATATTTCAAAAGTTAAAAAAAATTAAAACATAATAAGGGTAGGGAGAATGTTACAAGTCTGCAATTCAATCATTCTGGAGATCAGTATTAATGCCATGCATGCCATCCTGGTGTAAAAAAAGTATACCCTCTGCCCAAGTCTAAAAGTCAAGATGTGGGTAAAGCTCAGCACAACAAATGCTATGCATGAAGAAAAACCTAATTCCATAAGATAACAATATAAATATAAAAATACCAGGCAAGAAAAAAAAAAGGCTTCTCAAAGAAAAGCAACTGCTTTTACTTTACCATTTATTATTTACAGATGGAGTCTGTAATGGTGGTGATGGTGTGGCTATATGAGAAGGGACTGCTCAGCTTCAACCACACAAAGAAGATAAGTGTGATGAGGGTATTAACACTCAAAGATCATCTCCAGAGACTTTCTCCAGAAAGGATCCTCCTCCTAAAGGTATCATAAACATCCCAAATGAAGGCCACAAACCAGAGGCAAATGATGAAATACATCATCATATTTAGGAGAGATTTCATTCAACCCACCACATTTTCAGGTCATGATAGGCTCACACTCAACCCATAATGCAAGATGCATTTCAAAGACCCTAATTTCAAAGATCTCCATAATATGTCACAGTTCCAACACTATTGAAGTGTCCAAAGTTTCTTTTTATCAAACAAGGCAATCTTGACTTTGACATCTTCTAAAATCAAAACACAAACTTTATCTTCTCAAAACACAATGGCACAGAATACACATTTGCTTTGCAAAGAAGGAAAGATTAGACCATGCTGGGCAAACACCCAATACTGCAGCTCCATGTCAGACACCTGGGGATTCATTTCAAAGGGCTTAGATGGCTCTTTCTCTCTGCAACTTCTCAGACTACTTCCACTCCCTACATGTAGATATTCATGGCAGGTGTCTCAAGGCTTGGGTATCTCCACATCTTGTTTTCTCAAAATGCAACCCAGACATCATCATCACTGATTCATGCAGTGAACTCTCCCAGTCTCCTCACTGGGGGTCAGACTCTACCAGACAGAGCTGAAAAGGTGCTGAACACAGAGGAAGAGTCCATGACCTTCAAATTTTGCATCTTTCTTCTTTCAAGAAAAAAAAAATAGCACATAGATGATAAAACCATAAGGAGTTCTAGCTTTAGAGAGACCCAGTCTCATTGAAACAAAGTAGCAGCAAAGTTGCTTTCTGGGACTAGGAATTATCTTGCCTTTTCCTTCCATAGTTCCAAGCTTTGCAGGGTGGTACAGTGCCGGGAGCCAAAGCTACCTACTGAAGTCAAAGTCAAAGCTATCTAGTGGAGCCAAAGCTATCTACTGAAGCCTAAGTCAATTAGTGAGTCAAAGCTATCTAGTGGAGACAAAAGGTGTTTACTAGGCCAAAGCCAAATAGTGAGCAAAGGTCATTTAGTGGAAATCTAAAGCTATTTAGTGGAAGTTATCTAGGACCCTAACTCATGGGTGAGAGACTGTGAGGACATCCATTTGTTAGAGCATCTGTGAGAAAACATCCCTATGGTATCTTGCAGGTACCCTATTTAACACATGAAAGCACTCTTCCTGTCTCCTACAGCAGCTAACTACCTTCCCCCTTTCCTGCCTTCTCCCTATGTAAGTTGGGTAAAAATTTCTAATAAATGAAGCTTTGATCAGACAAACAGACTTGGCTTCCTTCCTTGCGCTTCTCGTCCCCTCCCATTCCTTCCACTCTCTTCCCTTAGGAACTCACATTGAAGTCCCGAGGGTCGGGGCAGTATAGTGCCCCTACAACACATTTTCCATTTGTCCAAAGAAGAGCAGGTGCCTTCCCTTTAATGGCCCCAACATCCCTGATAACTGCTGCCTCTGTTTCAGGACAGGACTGCCACCTGAGTTTACCTACAGCTTTTTCTCTCTAAATCACACAAGTTTCATTCATTTCTGCCCTGTTGGTTCTCCTTTCTCTGTGGTCCTGCAGGAGTCATGAGTAATAACCATGACACAGACAGAATGGTTAGTCTAGAGATCATTCCATTACTATTTCATTTAATGTTACTTGACTTCACAGGATATGCTCAGAATAAAGAGATTTCAAAATATTATGTAAACAACCTGTCCTGGTAACCGTTCTATTGCTGTGAAGAAGCACTCTGACCAAGGCAACTCTGATAATGGAATACTTCTGAGACTGATTAGAGTGACAGAGAGTTACTCCATCATCATCTTGAAAGGAAGCATCATGGTGGGCAGGCATGGGGCAGAGAGTTACACCCTGATACATAGGCAGGAGGAAAGGAACACTTGCCTTGCACTGGTCTTCTGAAACCTCAAAGCCCACCTAGAGTGACACACATAAACAAATGGGACAAGTGCACACATTTTACACAGTTAGTTCTACCAGTTGGGGACCAAGCGTCCAAAAACAGAGTGTAAGTGCTGATCTAATATAAGCCGCAACAGTAATGTAACCTAAGGAGAAAAGAGCTTGGAAGGAAAAGAATGAAAGATACTCTTGGAAACGAGAGAGAGAAAGAGAGAGAGAGAGAGAGAGAGAGCGCGCAAGAGGGAAAGACAGAGAGCAAGAAAGACGGACGAGAGAGACAGTCAACAGGAAGAAAACATTTCCTCCAAATATCGGGGAGCCATTTCCTCTGGCTGGCCTCCAGGCTTCCTTCATATGACCTTCCCTACTCTGTCTAACAAGAGAGTAAACAACTGGAGGCCTCTAAACTGAGATTTAAGGATGTATCTTTTCTCTGAGCGCACGGTATTACCCCTTGTTTCCCTCCCCACCCAGTTCACTCAGGGAACTGGAAAAACCTGTCTGTACTGTACTGTCTGGAAAAGAATAAAGAGATCAGCAGAACATGAGAGCAAAATTAGGAGGAAAGAAAAAAATCACACACACACAAACACATCACACACACACACAATTATAAGGGAGTCAATACTGACGAATGAGGCCACGAAACCCAGTAAGTCTGAACTTACTAACACACGGAACTGGACCACCATGGCATCTACATGCAAATGTGTTAATAACACAGACTTTCCACCTGCACAGAATTAACTGCAGACGGAGCCGACACCTGAATGTCAGGACAACGTGCAGAACTCTTAGAAGCAGCTAGGGAGAAACTGGTGCCCTGCGAGTCAGCACACCTGCTTCCCTGCAGACAGTAAAAGCGGCTGAGGCTCGCTGCACGGTGACGTCAGCAACAAGTAAGTTTTCACGCAAGGCTCCCTAAGCCCTAAGAACGTGCAGTCAGGGGAACCAAGTCACTCAGGAACTCAGCTTCCCCCTCGGGGAGGTGCAGTGACCTCACGGGGCGCCGAGTCTGGCCTCCCGTCTCCGCCCCCGGGGCGAACCCACTTGGGCTCCCGCGGCTCCTCCCCGCGTGGGGACGACGGCCCCGCTCACCATGGCGCGGACTCCGAGCTTGCCCCGCTCTCCTCGGCTCCTGGCAGCGGCTCACAGACTCCCTCCCTACCTTAGCTGAACCTTCAGTAAGTCGGACCGGAAATGCCCGCCCCATTCTGACTGGCGGGTTCTGATTGGCTAGTGAGTTCTGAGTGACAGGACCATCTCTGGGACAGAGTGCTGAGAAGTGTCACAGCACAGAGGTTCCCACCGTGGTCTCCGCTCCAGGAACAGAACTGTCCCAAAGCTGGCATTGTAGTAAAGCTTGTGCCTATGACCATACAGGCAATTCTACGAGCCTAATCTCAGGACCTAGAGCGGCTTACGTCATCATCTGCCGCCGCCAGGTGCCCCAGGTTCTCCAAGTGTGTTCAGCCAGATAAAGGGCGCCGCCTGCCACCCCAGTCCTTTCTCTGTTCCCTGTGCTCACCCTGTTCTCCATCTCTCTCCCTCTCTCTCTCTCTCTCTCTCTCTCTCTCTCTCTCTCTCTCGCTGCCCTCGTGGCTCTGCTCCCTGTCTGTCTGCCTCTATCTCTCCCCCAAGACCTCACTCCTCTCCCCTTTTCCAATAACTCTCTTTTACACCAGATGCATAATTAAGCTCTAGAATGAATGCTTGGTATTTTCTACTTCAAAAGTGAAAATAAGGTTACTACATCCAATACGATGAAATAGGTGGATTAGAAGAAGTGCTGTAACAGGAACCAGCTAGTTGGCTCAGGGAGTAAAGGCGCTTGCAAACAAGGCTAAGATCCTTGGGCCAATACCCAGGAGAGGAGCCACTCCTCCAACTTGTCCTCTGATCTTTACACCTGTGCTGTCGGATGTGTCTTCACACATGCCTCAATAGCACAAATTCAAAAAATTTTTAAAATAAAACCGAAAACAACATGAGAAACAAAAAAGCACCAAAACAACAACAATAAATCTAGCGAAACAGCTGGATGTGCTAGTGCGACCACTGACCAAAACACTGCCAGGATGACAACAGGAAGCAAAGCACTCACACTTAACTCTCTACCAAGGGGCTGGAGAGATGGCTCAGAGGTTAAGAGCACTGGCTGCTCTTCCAAAGATCCCGTGTTCAGTTTGTAGGAACCACATGGTGGCTCACAACCATCTATAATGAGATCTGGTGCCATCTTCTGGCTTTCAGGTGTACAGGCAGACAGAACACTATACACAATAAGTAAATTTATCTTTAAAACAAACAAACTTCCTACCAAGTTGTCAAGTTTATCTCTGCAGAGCTTCCTTACAGTCTCAGGGGAACAACTGAAGAGTTTTTTCCATGGAAATACTTATCTTCCCTGCATTTCTTTTGCATTAAACAACTAACTCTACTCTGAGTTGCCTAAAAAATGAAAATAAAAGACAGAAAGACAAAAAACAAAGAAATTTGTAATAAAATGAGTAAATCATGAATATAGAATCTGTCCAATCACACCCTTAGCAGACTGCACCAAGGTCTGTCTCCGTGGTAGGACTTTGCCTCAGGCCTGCTCAGGCAGTCTTTACACAGCATCCAGACGGAAGACAGAGTCTTCTCTATGGCCATCAACCCTTTAGTCAGATCTCTTGTGAGAGGAACAGTTTATTGTGGTCCCTTCTCTCCCTGAAGATCTGGGGCCTCAAGAGAGGACTGTTCACCACACACCTGGGCAGTTACACCCCACTCCCACTTTCCTAGGGGGCTAAGGTGCTGGATGCTATGTATGAATCCACCACACTGCTGTCCTGTGACACGTATGCTTTGAGAAGTCCACAGAGGTGACAGGTAAATGACAACCACCATGGCCAACCCCCTATTGTAGTTGTTGATAGCCCCTGATGGGCCTGAGGTACAAGTGGGGATTATTGTCACAGCTCGTAAACAGATGCTAAAAAGCCTGGAAAGCAGCAGGAGATGGGTGGCTGAAGATGGCTTTCCCTTCCAAGATGACCATGCTGGGGTCAAATATCTTCACATTCCAGCACAGCGAGCATCTGGCACTTTCAAAGCACAAGCTTATTGTAATGGAAGTTTTGGTTTCTTTGTAAACTGTTATGTTATGTAAATATGTTTTTGTTTTAATCCCAAGTGTGGGATTTTAGTTGAGCTTTAGTTTGTTCACAGCTGATAGTCATCTTGTGTGAGGTGTGGCTTTTGCCAGCTAGTAATGGTCTCATGTGACATGAATAGGGACATGGTCTAGGACTCTGGGTGATATAAATTTGAGAGCTCAGAAAGAGAAGTTCTGGCATGCAGTGTTGGCATGTGGCATGTAGCAGTTTGGAGAGACCAGAAGCAGATGGTGTGATGGTTTGGAGAAGACAGATGGAGAGAAAAACACTTTGGGGTGCAGTGGCTTGATGGAGATTGCTGGCTGCATTTGTTGTTGAAGGAGATTGGTATATTCGCCAAAGCTCCTTTGACCCTAAATAGCTGGGAGAAGTAAAAGGGTCTGCACCCTCTCTACCTACTAACCTTCTCTTCCTTGCTAGGGTTGGGCGGATAGTGGAAAGGAGGTAGAGGCATAAATGCTCCGTATAAAGAAGAGTTTTAAAAATGAGTGCTACACTGTTTCTTTACACCATCTTACTTGAGAACATGAAGATACACATGATGACCACAACGAAGAATTCTACAGTGACTCTTGCTCTTTTGGAGGGTCCAGCAGGTAGAATGCTCAAAAATTTCAGCCCTTGGCTCTGTGAATACAAGTACTGAGTCAGCTTGGCTGCAAGCCTGAATCCATGACCCTTTACCAAGCTGCCCAGTACAGGTGCAAAGGTCCCTGGTCCCTGTTGGTCTCAGCACGGCTGCTCATGAAGCCCCTCCCCTTACCAGTTCACAGGTCTTTATGCTAAAGGAGGCTCTGAAAGTGGAGCAGGATGCCCCAGCCAGATCAAAAGTGCAAGAGGATGCCATGTGTGGCCAGATGATAGCCATGCAGCAGGGCACGGAGGTACTGGTTCTGTGGAGCAGGGAATGGGTGATAAGAGCCACAAACTGAGCAGTAAAGGTACAGATAGGATCCAGGCTGGTCAGGACACCTCAGGGTCATGTCCCTTGGAAGACCCCAATATTAGGGTCAAAGTCTGGTGTTTCCAGATAGCCTCTGAGCTTTGTATAAGACAATGACTCCTTTTCTCAGCTGGGTTCCCTCTCTGCCTGATCTGGGTAACTCCAGAGTCTCTAAGGAGAGTCACATAGCCCTTAGGGAAGATTACAGGCCCCACCCTTTCTTGATAAGAAATATGTTCAGCAAGCACCTGAGTATTCCTGGAAACACCTACCTTATGTTAACGAGTTGTCTTGGTATCTTCACTTTTAATCAATGACCTTTAACTGTACCTGGGGCTCTTCCCATATGCACAGGATAATTAAGAATTGCTTTTCCCCCTTATGCCAATAAAAGGCTCCTTTTCTTTCAATATAATAATAATTATAAAATTATGAAAACTATTAGGTAAAATCTGTATGTGCAATGTCCAGTCCATGTGTATTTAGCAACTTAGAAAGTATCTGATTATTCTATCTTGTCAAGTTTAGAGTTCTATACTTAAATTAAATTTCATATTGGTATTACCTAAATGAAAACATTTTCTTAAATTCCTAAACAACTTAAGCTTAATTGTGGAACTGTAACTATTTGGTCTTCAAACCCACCAGAGACTTGAGAAGGAATAAAATTTGTTATTAGAGTAAATAAGAAGTGCATGTTAGCAGCATCCAAAAAAAAAAAAAAATTGACAGAGACAGTTTTCTGCCTGAACAGTCACCCATAACTCTCTATAAGGTTGGAGCATCATCTTTTGCCTTCTGGCTCAGAATATTTGACAGACATATATGTGAAGCAGGAACTATTTAGGACTTGTATACTCTGTCTTGGCAGTCAACTTGTCCTGCATTTAAGCTTGCCCGTTTTGGGCAGAATTCTGTCTTGAAGTGAGGGTATTTTCTTTACCTGAGTGGCTCATTTGCCACATTTGAAGCCATCTTCATATGGTGGTTCTTTGATGCTCATCATCTTCTTTGAGGTAGGCTGAGTGCTGCCAGGAGATGACCTGTTTCATTGTCAAAGAATCTTTACAGTAATAAAGACATTTTTAAATGTCATATTTTGTAGGTCTCTGAAGTTTTTTTTTTAAAGATTTATTTATTTATTATGTATACAACATTCTATTTGCATGTACACCTGCATGACAGAAGAAGACACTAGATCTCATTATAGATGGTTGTGAGCCACCATGTGGTTTCTGGGAATTGAACTCAGGACCTTTGGAAGAGCAGTCAGTGCTCTTAACCTCTGAGCCATCTCTCCAGCCCATCTCTGAAGTTTTTGAAGACCTACCTATTCTTTATATAATTGATCTGTCTATAAAATCATGTCTATGTGTTAAACCTAGGATGTATGCTCCTGTGATAAATTAGACTAGTGTCTAACATAATTGTGAGTTGATTAACTAGCAATTAACTATTACCTAATACCCTAAACAGTTTGTAATAGCAGTTTAAAAGTATTGGAAGTAACCTTGAATTTGTATCAATATTCTAAAATTTACCAATGTATTAAAAATAGACTTATTTTTGCATCAATATACAAAATCTTATCCCAAAGTTAAAATTAACCTTATTTAAGAATAACAAATAAAACCCTGAGTTGAGTAGATTCAATAATCTGCATTTTGTATTATTATTCCCTTAGTATATCCCTGTATGCCCCTTTCTTTCTTTTTAACCCCTTTTCTCCTTATCTAAGAAAGAAAGATAGAGAAAAGAAAAGGGAAGAGAGAAATCTCTGAGTCTTGTTTTCTCTATGAATAAGACCATTAATAATTTATAACCATCTCCTAATGACAATAAACATTCATAGCCATAGAAAACAACCAAAAACCTACCCAACCCCCCTTAAGGAAAATTGGACATCCTCATAGATTTCTTCTAGCTGACATTTTGGACACATGGAAATCCTGTTGGGGGCCCAAAGAAAATTGGGGAAAAAATGCCTAATTAAGCAAGCATTAACATTTGTAGTCCAGTCTTTGAATGTTGAGAAATTTCAGGCTGCGACGTTCTGTTTGGAACAGTCTAAAAT